ATGACTAACCCACCACAAGCACTCAATGGGAAGAAACTACAAATACTCCCATTAAGATTGGGAACAAGATTGTGATGTTTGCTTTCACCTCTTATTCAACACAGTACTTGAAGTCCTAGCCACAGAATCAGACAAGAAATAAAAGGCATCCAAACTATAAAGGAAGTAGATAAAACTGTCTTCATTCACAGATGACATGACTCTGTACATAGAGAACCCCAAAGATACCACCAAGACAGTTACTAGAACTGATAAATAAATTCAGCAAAATAGAATATAAAATATCTAGAAATCAGGTGCACTTTTATACGCCAATAATGAACAGAAAGGGAAATCAAGAAAACAATGCCATATACGGTTGCTTCAAAAAGAATAAAACATCTAGGAATAAACCTAACCAAGGATGTAAAAGACCTATACACAGGAAATTACAAGACACTGAAGAAAAATTAAAGAAGATACAAATAGTGGATGCACAACTAGGTTCATGGATAGGAAGAAATTAACATCATTAAAATGTCTACTATGCAATTCCTATCAAGATTCCAATGACATATTTCACAGAACTTAAACAAATATTTCAGAAGTTTATATGGGACTAGCAACGGTGATCCTGAGAAGGACCAACAAAGTGGGAGAAATCATGCTACCTAATAACCAAATGTACTGTAAGGCCAAGTAATCAAAACAGAACAGCACTGGCATAAAAACAGACTCATAGATCAATGGAACAGAATAGAGAGTCCAGAATAAACCCACACTTTTATAGTCAGTATTTGGCAGAGGAAGCAAGCACATACAAAGGGGTAAAGATAGTTTACTCAATAAATGATGTTGTAAAACCATAGAAACAAGTGCAGAAAAATGAAACTTGACTACTTTCTTACCCCACATGCAAGAATAAATTAAATATGGATCAAAGACTTAAATGTTAGACCAGAAACCATAAAAATCCTAAAAGAAAACATAGGCAACAAAAGCTCAGACAATTTTTATCAGATGTGTGGAAAATTTTTAATAGATGTATCTCCCCAGGCAAGGGAAAAAAATAAACAAACAAATGGGATTACATCAAACTAAAGTTTTTGTACAGCAAATGAAATCATCAACAAAATAAGAAGACAATCCACACAATGGGAAAACTTATTTGCTGATACATCGGATAAGGAGTTACTATACAAAATTTATATAAAGTACTTGACAAAACTCAACACCAAAAAAACAAGCAACCCAATTTAAAAATTGGCAAAGGTCTTGAATAGACACTTCTCTAAAGAGGACACACAGATGGACAAGAGACATATGAAAAGGTGCTCAACATCACTAGCCATCAGAGACGCAAATTAAAACCACAATGATACCACCTTAACTATGTCAGAATGGCTAGCACCAATAAATCAACAAACAAGTGCTGGAAATGATGTGGAGAAAGGGGAACCCTCTTGCACTGTTGGTGGGAATGCAGACTAGTGTAGCCATTGTGAAAAGCAGTGTGGGGATACCTCAAAAAATTAAAAATGGACCTGCCATTTGACTCTGCAATCCCACTTCTGGGAATATATCCAAAGGAACCCCTAACACTATTCTAAAAGAGCATAATAACCACTCCTATTTCACTGCAGTGTCATTTACAGTCACCAAGATATGGAAGCAACCCAGTGTGTATCAATGGATATGTAGAAAACACAACCACTGGTCATTTACATAACGGAATACTACTACTTGGCCACAAAAAAGAAAATTTTACCCTTTCCAACAGTACAGATGTACCTGGAAAACATGCTAAGTAACATAAGCCAGTCAGAGAAAAATAAATACCATATGATATCACTCATATGTAGAATCCAATAAACAAACTGAACTAACAAAGAAAGGAGGGACAGACTCATAGATGGAGAACAGGATGACAGCTAGTGGCGGGGGAAGGGGGAGAGTTAGGTGCAAAGGGAATGACCCTAAGGAAAAAGGACTCATGGACAACAGTGTGGTGACTGCTGGGAGCAGGAAGGTGTAAGACTAAAAGGTCATTTAAAAATTTTTTTTAATTTAAAAAGATTGAAAGCATCCGTTAAGTATTAAAAACAATGTAAAGACATGCTCCACACCACACCCTGGTGAATTGTCTTAATTCCAAAGACAAGAAAAAATCCTAAAACTTTGCAAAACAGAAAAAGGAGGCTAAGAAGAAAAACAAACTTATGTCCAACTATGTATTTGCTACAGTAGCTGTAACAAATGAACAACAATTTGACTTCAAAATTCTGATAAAATTTTTCTGAGACCTAAAAATGATAACTTAGCAATTGGTTGCACTTTGGATGAAAAGATATCAGTCATATACAGGTAAGTTTGCAATTAGTCCTTTTTAATAATAAATACAATAAAGCAAAGCAATGAAAAAATATATGGGGTATAAGAAACAAGGCCTGCCCTGGCTGATGTAGCTCACTGGACTGAGTTGTGGCCTGCAAACCAAAGGGTTGCCAGTTCAATTTCCAGTCAGGGCACATGCCTGGATTGCAGGCCAGGTCCCCAGCAGGGGGCGCACAAGAGGCAGCCGCACATTTGTTTCTCTACCTCTTTCTCCCTCCCTTCCCCTCTAAAATAAAATCTTAAAAAACAACAACAACAAAAACCCAGAGATATAATGTAGATGAACACAGTTCAAAATTAAAAGTCATATAGGCAAAATTAGAAGTTATACAGACAATCTTCTGATCACAAAATAACAAAACCAGAAATTAATGATAAAGTAGCCATACATCCACACACTATTCTCTTGAATGAAAAAAGCACCCTTGTAAATAACTGTTCTAAGACATCAAAATTTATATTCTATAATTACTATAGTAGTAACAGCCATAGATGCCTACATTGAAAAAGATGAAAAAGCTTTCAGACTTAAGCTAGAAAAACTACCCAGAAAATGGAAACAAAACCATTCAGTATATGACAAAATTTAAAAATTAGAAATTCATTTTTTCTAATTTTAATGCATTTATAATACTCTATTAAAATATCAGTATATTTATAATTATACTTTGATGTGATAGAACTTGTCAGTTATTTTTAAATTTAGTGACGATCATTAAAATAAAACTACCTACTAGTTTTTTTTAAGACTTGAATATAGGTAAGCCTTCAATTCTAACCAAGAAAACAGGAATAAAGCTTAAGAACAAAAAGAACAATATAACTATAGATGTGGCATTCTTCTTACACTATTTCAAATGGTGAATGCAGAGAAGTTCCAACTTTCTATATCATTCAAGAACTTTGTACCTCCATAATAAAACAATTTGATAATGGGGAACTCCACAAAAATAAAGATATTTATAAAAGTCCTAAAATACTAATCTGCAATGTTTTAAAAGAATTTCAACGTGACCAAAAAGGGTACCCAAGAACACAAGATTGGTTCAATATAAGAAAACGTACAACAGGGACAGCTTTTGTATACAGTCACACATCGCTTAATGACAGGGATACATTCTGAGAAAGGCATCATTAAGTTATTTCATCACTGCAAAATATCAGAATGAACTTACACAAATTATGACACAGCCTATTACACACTTGAACTACACAGTATACCACAGTCATGTACGTAGTCCATTGTTGAACGAAATGTTATGTGCTACATGACTACACTTCAGTATTGGCAGTGGGGGATATATAAGTGTGGGTACCATTTAAAATAGCTGAAAAATAGCTTTAAAACTACCAAAAATAAAGGAACTTAAGTTAATTTTAGAAGGATGAAATACATGGATACAAATATTTCTGGATGAAAGACTCAACATTATAAAGATGTAAGTTATTTTACAAATTAATCTTAGAATTCAATGTAACCAACCAAATGCCAAGTAAAATCTTGTCAGGGTATTTTATAAAACTTTATAAATTATAAATTAGTTCCAAAAGGAAACAAAGATTAAACCTAAGCAAGACAATATTTAAAAAGTGAAAACTGAGGGTCAACTTTTCCCTAATAGCTATAAAAGCATTTAACAAAATCACTGTCCATGCACCTGATAAAAGCCAGGGATACACATCAACAAGACAAATGTCCCTAACCTCACGGAGTGTGTGTGAGTGAAGTAACACATAAAGTATACAAATGACTAAGAGAAGTGCCGACAGGCAGATAATAAACTACTATAATGGAAATTAATAAACTAATTAAATTAGATCCCTTAAAGGTGAAAGTCTCATGAATAGTTGTAATCAGTTTATATTTTACTCCAAATCAGTTTATATTTTACTGCAAGTATTTTAACAAAAGTAATAAGATTAAATTCACTACCAAATTCTATCATATTGAAACACAATAATAAGAATTGTGACAGTATTTTTTTAAAGGAAGATATTGTAAGTACATTTTAAAATCTGGAAAGATAAGATTTTTAGCTCTTGGTAGATACTTCTACTCTTCTCACCAGTGGAAACCACTATCAAGGGCTAGAAATCCATCTTTTCAGATGAAAAAGCATGCTTCAACAGCAATAAACACAACCAGCAATTAATACATTTATGTAATCATGTGAGTAAGCATGTAGATTATATTTTTAAATACAAAGAAAGAAGTCTATTCTAGAATGATAAATACCAAACTGTTGACGGCAACTGTCCTTTTTTATTAAGAGAAAGAAGTGAACAGGAACCTATGTAAGTCTACTTCCAAAGGACTGACTTTAACACTCTAACAGATATGAGAAAGTAAGGTCTGGGACAGCAAGGTCCTTATATTAATAATGTAGAATGGCACAAGTAGGTATACATCAGAGTAGTAAAAGTGCATCACTGTTAATGGTCCTGAAACATGGACGTTTGAGTCCAAAGGCAAAATTTTTTCCCCAAAGCTATTACTTGTTTTATGCATTACTTCAGTCACTTGTAAATGAAAAGCATTAGTGAATGACAGCTCACAAATGTTATCTCCATTTACTTGAAAATAATACTTTAAATACAAAAAAAGGTCAGTATCAGGATAAACTCACTGAAGAGTCTTCATCTTCCAAACAGGTCATTATCTTGGAAGAAAGCTCCTCACAGCACAAATTCTCTTCTGCAGTTGCCACCAAAGCAGCACAACGGGCAAATGCTCTATATAATTCCGACCAAGCTCTAAGTAAGGTTTTCATGGTGGCCTAACAATAATAGTAAAACAAAATTAAATGTATTATTTACATGTCAAACACCTAATAGAATAGATCATGAACATTTTTAAAAACACTGTAACAATGTGTCATGAAAGAAGCTAACATACGGTAATGTTTGTCCCCCACCCCCACAGCAGTGTTCTACTAGAAGAATTGTAATAATGCCACAATACTAGCAGTTATTAAGGGTTAAATGGAACTCTCTTTACCATTTTCCTTTCCCTTATCACAGGTGGCAAGCACCAGGCCTGCAGGCCAAATCCAACCCTCCACCTTGTTTTAACTGGCCCGGCACCTTGTTTCTACCCCATGACAGTGCGAAACTCTAGATAACTTGTTAAGGAGCAGTTACATTTATACAGTCCTAAAATTACATTCAGTCCTCTAAGGCAACCTCGAGGCTGATGTGGCCCCCAGTGAAAATGAGTTTGGCACCCCTTCCTTATATTGTCACGAGAAAGTCTCATCTTGGGAAAATTTACTGGAGAAGTTCATTATAGTGGGTGAAATAATGTTTTCAGAAAAGTGCAAATTCCGTAAGTAAAAATTTGACACCGCCTTACCACTGGAAATTTCTGTACTGAAAAAATATGATTTATCGGTAAAGTCAATGCACCATAGATGGCACTAAAATTATGTTCTAAGGCATCACCTTGATTTACTTCATTGGTCTGAAACAAGAAAAATTATAAAGTTAGACAAATTTATCATCTAATTCCAGTGTCTTAAGTAATAGAATTGTGTCCCCCAAGGTTGAGATGTTCAAGAGATGGTAAACACTAACACTTTATCTAATAACTGGTATACTTATAAGAAAAGGGGAATTTTAGATAGAGAAGATATAAGAATGCCACGTGAAGATGAAGTCTGAAGATTGGAGCAATGATTATACAAGCCAGGAAACACCAAGAATTGCCAGTGACCTGACCAACAGAAACTGAGAAAGAGACATGAAAAGATTCTCCGTCAAAGATCCAGAACAACTGTGCCAACACCTTTATTTTGAATTTCTGGCCTTTAGAGATTTAAGAGAACAAATTCATTTTGTCTTAAGCCACCAGATTGTGGAAATTTGTTATAGCAACACTGGGAAAGAATGCACTGTGTTTCAAGTCCTAAAAAAGAATCCCAGAGATGGCTCCATAGACTTTTTAACTACACACTGAAGGGAGCATTCAAGGCAAGTACTTAAAAAAAAAAAAAGAGCATGGCTATTCCTTAAAGAGTGGGATACTAAGAATGCAAACTACCCTCTTTCAGAAGACTATTGTTTACTGATGGGCTGCCTTCAGTAGCCGAAATAAAGGCTACTGCACTATCACATAATAAATTCTATGAAGTTGTTACTTAACTTGAAAGTTATGCTGAAATATTTCCCAAAGAATACTTCCTTTTAAATATTGATAAAGCTTAAATATTGATAGTCAATGAAATATTGACAAACCAACAGAAATGATAGAACTTGAGCTCCACACCCTCCCAGTATTGCCACATATTTAAATAAATACAATGGTTAATCAACTCTCTACAAATTATTGATTTAGGTACTACTATATGGCTTCACCAACATGGCTTGATCATGGGAATCCTAATATAGTCTAGTCAAGATGGCCATTATTATTCCCCATAATACAAACATTAAAAGAATCCAAGATACAAATATGAAAATTTGTATGTATGTGAGTTTTCTGGCTTCATAACCTCTACTGGAGAAAATAGACCTGATTAGTTGCCCTTAAATTATACGTTCTTGAACAATAAAGCAGAAATGCAGTGAAAAGAAATCAACTATTTCAAAGAGTAGGAAGTTAACCAATCCCACAGGAAAAAACTATGTAATACCTTCTATTCAAAGTCAAGCTTCTATGCATTTCCATATGCTCTTACTAAAAAAAAAATTCCTTACATTTTTGGGGAAATAAATATGTAGATTTAAATCATACCTGATTAATCAATTCAGTTAATGGGGTGACTATAATACTCCACATTCTCCAGAGATGTTCCTTGTTCTCCAACTGCTTTGCATTTTGATCAATAACACTTAAAACAGAATCACTGAAAGCTAGTGGTGAAGTTGGACCAGAAAGAACACAACCTACAAGTATTTCCAGATTAAGAAAAAACCTGAAAAAATTTTGAACCACGAGTTAACCTATACTTTTTGCCAAAATACATTAAGTACACTGCAACAAATTCCTAAAAATAACTGATAAATAAGAAATAAATTTCAAATCTTACTTTTGATTTTTTAAAATATTTGAGAGTGTCTTAACTCAAAGGCATCTGATTCATCACATAAGCACCTTTCCAAGATAAACATAAAGAGTAGTTTTAGCCCTGGCCCCATTGCTCAGTTGGTGAGCACTGTCCAGATATGCCAAGGGTGCAGGTTCAATTTCCCAGTCGGGGCACACGCAAGAATCAACCAATGAATGTATAAATAAGTGGAACAACAAACAGATGTTTCTCTTTCTCTCTCCTCCTTTTCTCTCTTTAAACAAACAAACAAAAAACCAACAACCGCAAAATGCCAAATTAAAAACAAGAATATTTTCCGTTTAAATTACCTTTCATCTTCTACACCATATCCCAAAAGATTATTGTTGAAAATTAACTGAATTAAGAACAAAGCAGGAGTTCCCTGAAGAAAGATGGGAGATTGCAGTCAATCCTGTTATACTTGTTTTCTACAATCAATTATGTAAAACATGATACTGTTAAGGTTGAAATTTAACTTTTCATAATACTTAGGATGTGACAAAATAAAGATGACAACTTGAGTAAACTACCCAAGCTCTTTGTATTTTTACCATAGGTGTTCCATCTACACTGAAAAATGGTGATATTCCAAATGGGAAAAAGAATGTTAACTTAAAACTTGCTCGACCAGTAACACCCACAGCCTTCAGATATCAAGATGTTTCACAATTTAACCCATGTCACTAAAAACTTCCAAAATTTATAACAGTAACCAGCACTATTACTATATATAAGCAAATGGAAAACTTTCCTTCTGAAATCCTTTTTTAATACCAGAAAATAGTTCCATTAATAGTGCTATACTTATTTACATTAATTTCGTTGCCTATCAACTTTTTAACATAATCAGCAAATTCAATTTTCTCAAAAATTTTACAATCTAAGTCTCACTATTTTAAGAAAAAGAAATCATTTAACTTTTATTCTTGCTCATTTTAATAATTATATTTAAGATACTTGCATTAAGAATGTCCATATTAGCAACCTGATATGCTGGTGAACCTAACACTTTCTGAGGAAGTCCTTTAATTGTAATTTCCATGAGCACCTAAGAAAGACAAAAGGTTTGTTGTTAAGTCATTCATAAAAATAAGTACATAGTACAAATCTAGTAGTGTTAACTATATTTTTAATTCATCATTTTGTTATATTTTCATTAAATATATTATTAGTTGAATAACGTTTGTATATCAATGTGAATATATTTACATTAATTTAAAAACTTCAAGTAACAGAAAAAAAAACACCAAAACAACAAAGTCCTTATTTCCAGGGATGAATAATACAAGTTTAGAGTTTATTTTTCTAGACCATTTTTATTTCCATATATGTAATTATACTAAAAACCATAATTTTGCCCCTAGGCTGGTGTGGCTCAGAGGATTGAGCGCCAGCCTGCAAACCACAGGGTCACCGGTATGATTCCCAATCAGGGCACATGCCTGGGTTGCAGGCTGGGTCCCCCGGTAAGGGGCACTTAAAAGGCAACCACACAATGTTTCTCTCTCCCTCCCTTCCTGTCTCTAAAAATAAATAAAATCTTTAAAAAAGAAAAGAAACAATCTTCCAAGGTGTGCCTGTCATATTTTCATGCCACTACTGACATACTATGAAATACTATGAAACTCACCTTCTTCATCTGTTTTTTTCACATCACTATATGCACACATGCTATAGAAATGTGCCTAATTTATGCAAACATTTTTCTCTTAATGGCTTGAAGCTATTTCTATCTTTTATTATTAGAATAAAAATTCTTCAGTGAATAATGTACTCACTAGCAGTACCAGAAACAAATATTTAAAAATTTTTTTTTACTTATTTATAGAGAAGGGAAGGGAGGAAGGGAGGGAGACAGTCCAGGACAGAAACATCAGTGTAAGAGAGAAACATCGATTGGTTATTTCTAATAAACACCCCATCCAGGGACCAAACCTCCAACCCAGGCATGAGCCTGGATCAGAAATTCAATCCATGACCTTTCACTTTGTAGGATGATGCCCAACTGAGCCACATCAATCAGGGCCAAAAGCTAATATTTCTAAAGACTGCTAAATGCTGAACTGAAGACACACCTCTTAAATGTGACAGAGCCTAGCAAAGTGCTGTCTCAAAATATTACTTAACCTAAACTATTTAACTAAAGTGACATATATAACAAAAAAGGCTTATGCTGGTAGAATATGCTTCACATATAGTCATTTGAAGCAGATATTGATGAAAATAATAAACAGCATTTGTTAACTCATTTATTTTGTTCCTGGCCCATAGTCTTCTGCATTTATCAATCCATTTAGGCAGAACACTGAATTCTCTCTTTATAGAGGCAAGAGGGTAGATAAATTGCACAACTTTACTCAGCTAATAAATAGGCTGAGATTCAACCAGGTCAGCTCCAAAGCTGTTGCTCTACTGCCATTGTAGATACTGAAACAATACATAAAGGAAACAAACTCAGAATTTATGTAAGGGTATCATTTGCTCCATCTACAGTTTATTTTTAGAGGTTCACTCTTATAAAAAGTGTATCTAATTAGCTTTTTCCTTCTCTACTATATAGGATAAAAGAGACGTTGAATGCCAACATCATTATGCTAGTTAAAGAGAGTGCATTTAAAGCATGAAAGCGGCACAAGATTATTATTTGCAGATACTTTTTAAAATATACAAAGTAACAACTAGTGGAGTTTACCAGTTTTGTCATAAAATTAGTGTCCATGGGAGTGTCTTCAGTTCAAGTTTAATATCCTTTACCATATTTACCTTGGGTAGCTTATCCTTTTTCTTATCACAATTGGAAAATTTTTATAGCTGCCAATACAGCCATTTGCTTCATTAGTTTTAAATTACTCAAAAGTCAAAGGAACAGTACTCATTACAGGGCCAAACTCTTGATGAATACCTGATATGTTTTCCTAAATCATGATCTGTGCAAGTATCTTCGATATAAAATTCAATGTGGTTTTTTAAATTCCAGCATATAGGTACTGTACTTACCAGTGTTTTTGATACAGGAAATACTTCCGATCTCACTATGGTTTCCAAAGATTTTAATAAGAGGGTCAAAACCTCAGAACCTGGTCTCTCTCTTTTGTTACCTATCAACAAGCAAAAGGAAGGCAAGAGTTGTTACGTATCAATAAGCAATCTAAACATACAAGTATTTTTAGGAGTAAAAATATACATTTAAAGGACTGAGAATTGATTGTGTTTTTTTCTTATTAAGTCAAAGTGTTTTGCTAAAATTCTGAAAGCTCTACTTCAAAAAATTATTTTAAAATAAATTTATATAAAAGTCAAATAACTCACTGAGTGCTATAAAATTCATTTCATCAGTACTGCAGTGCTTACCTGATTCAATAACTGACTTCACTAAGTTAATTAGCTCCTTCCAAATAGCACTGACAACTGCATCTGTCAAAACAAATTGTAAAGTACTTCAGAGCAAAGATTACTACAATGGCACCCCTTTTCATCCTCAAACTAAAATAAATTAAGCAATAATTAATTAAGAATGATTCTCCTCATTGAATTTTGTATTGTTTATAAAACAATATCACCTTGTTTTTACTTAGGAAGAAACGTGTGTGTGTTTTTTTTTAAAAGGACTGTAACATACTAATACTAGGTCATTGAACTATGTTTAATTATTTTCTTTTTTTAAGCATCTGTTTTTTCTATATAGAACATATTTAACTTTGAGACAAGGAAAAACAAAGATCAAGATACTTGAAAGCCAAAAGATAAAAGTTTCCCAAGCCAATTAAAAAGCAAACTATTTTACTTATGATATTTCTTCTCTTTAATTTTTTAAATTTTTTATTTATTTATCTTTAGAAGGGAAGGGAAGGAGAGGGGGAGAGAATTATCAAGGTATGGTTGCCTCTCATGAGTTGCCTGCTGGGAACTGGCCCACAACCCAGGCACGTGCCCTGACTGGGAATCAAACCGTGATCCTCTGGTTGACAGGCCCATGCTCAATCCACTGAGCTATGCCAGCCAGGGTCTTCTGTTTATTTGATAAGCTTTTGAACACAGGTGTTCACATTAACAGAGCCTGGGTTTGTTTGAATCATGGCTCTACCACTTACTATGTGACTGCAAAAGTTATTTACTTCTCAGAATAATAAAATTTCCTCATCTGTAAAACTAACTAACACAAAAGGTTACCATAAGGGTTAAATTAATTATAAATTGCTCTTACAGCACAATCTAGCCAACAGGTGACACTATATTTATTTTTTGAACAATCTTAAAAACATCTCTTAAATACTTACCAGAAGCATCTTTTCCAACTGCAACAAAGCTATCATGAACAGCAGTGATAAGTGTATTTGCATATTTGGAAAAAAAAGAAGAGTTGCTGATTAACGGATGTTCGAGTGGCTCTAGAAGAGAAAAAGAAACAATTATGTAAAGCCAGTTTTACAAAATAAACTTCTCAATATAAATATTAGGTGGTCTGGCATGTTTTTATATTAAAAACTTGTTTCATATAGAATTATAAAGTATTTTTATTAAACAGTATTTGCCCTAAATGCAAACTATCACTATCTAGAAATTTTAGTTCTACATTCCAAGTTATATACAAAAAGAATTTTTGCAAATAACATTACCTGAGTTTTAATAATTTGTAGAATCATTCTAAGCTTTAAAAAACCATATTAAGCCCTGCCTTGCATGGCTCAGTGCATTGAGCACCATCCTGAGAACCACAAGGTCATCAGTTTGATTCCCAGTCAGGGCACATGGCTGGGTTGGGGGGCAGGTCCCCAGCTGGGGTCATTTGAGGGGCAAACAATCAATGTTTCTCCCACATGTTAATGTTTGTCTCCCTCTCTTTTTCTCTCCCTTCCCATCTCTCTGAAAACAAATAAAATCTTTAAGAATAAAAAAAAAATTAAGAAATCTTCAAGCTCATTTCTAAAATCATTCCAGTACCAGTCAAATCCCCTAGTTCACTGTGTTCTGACCTGTTTTAATAAATGAAATTATTTTAAAAACAATACCTAAGCTCAGTACAAGTTTGTTTTGCTTAGCAAAACTCAAGACTTCTGGACCCAAAAAAAAATGAAGCAACATTTCAAGTCCTAAAAGCTGAATAGAGGGGATTGTGGCCATTGCACCAAAATTTGAACTCAAGTTCATCCGGGGGGTCACAGAGGCTCCATATGGGGAAGCACCTTTAAAACAAAAAAAGTTACATAAGCTTAAAGTATCTACTAAAATGAATATATTTTGTTTATTCCCTTTAAGTAAAATGTACTACTACATGTAAATAGCATGTTTTGCTAATAAAAGTTGAATGTTTTTGTTAAAACCCACAACAGTATTCCAATTAAATCATCTTACTAGGTTAAGAACATTAATTAGTGTTACACACCATTTAAATAAATATAATTCTTACTGGCATTAATCCACATCCTGAATTACTAAAATTCAGACATTCCTTAAACTTAAATATAAAACTTAGGATCAGAATAGCTAATAGAAAATAATAGCAATAATTATCTTTCAATGGTATTCATTCTCAGCCACATTTCTTATATGTATTAAGATCTATTGTTTTTAAAAAATAACCATAAAGATTCTGGTTCTGAAACAAACACAGTAGTCTGTAATGCATTTCACATGTGCTAAGAAAAGTTTGATAATTCCAACTACAACAATGCGATTATTGCAGAAAACATTTAACACATACATAAAACAATGAAGAATATGTAATGGACTTTGCGATGGGGGGCCAAAATTATGAGGTGTTTCATATTATGTGAACAACACTCAACAAAACCTTCAGTCAAAACAATTTTTAAAGAAGAAAGAAAACAAGTATGTCTATTTCTCTTACCTTTATGTTGAGGGGTCATAGGATTTAGGACTGGAGAAGTAGCTACACGAGATGAATGAGGTGAAGGAGTAGTATCAATGCATATTGTGCTCTGAATCAGGGGCACACAAACCTATTGGAGTAACAGTGATAAAGAGATGATTATCTGTAAACTGCGTAATCTTCATATTTTTAAAAAGCCCTGTATAATACAGTTAATTTCTTTAAGAAGCAGTCTAAATTCTTTTATTATGTTGGATTTTATGGGTTGTTTCAATGAACAAGCTTAAAACTGAAATTTGGAAAAGTAGGCATTTTTATTTAACTGTATTACCCCAAATGCATACTATCTGTAAATTTGTTATAAATTTCAAGTTACACACAAATAGTTTTTGCAAATTAACATATACCTGATTTTTAGTGCAATTGACAGAGACTCACTTTAACCTTTTTAAAAACACATGCTAAAAATACAATTAAGACAAATTCAAGCTCATTCCTAAAATCATTCCAGTACCAGCCAAATCCAGCCAATGAATTATGTCAATGAATGTGAGGAACAACTGGGTAAGGTTAGCTTAAAAAGAACCCTCCAATGGTAGAATCTGAAAAAATTATGATCCCAATTACATATTACTATCAATGTCCAATTTTAATTAGCTCATCTTCTACCAAATTTAAAATCCTTAATATATTAAGAAACTTTTACATTTGCTAAAAATTTCAAGTACATTTAAAGTTCCCCTTTCCAAGAATACACTCCCTGCTTATGTTATTTACATAGACTACAAGGCAAGGGCTACAGATCCAAAAGTAAAATTTCCTTGAAAATCAAAGATAATCAATAAAGAAATTTTTAAAAATTATCAGACATGTCCTTTTTTTTTTTTTGAGAATGGTTTCTAGAATCCAACTAGAAATTCAGAGCCATTTTTTTTTTTTTTTTAAAGATTTTATTTATTTATCTTTAGGGGAAGGGGGGGAAGGAGAGAGGGAGAGAAACATCAATGTATGGTTGCCTTTTGTGCATCCCCTGCTGGGAACTGGCCTGCAGGGAACCAGCCTGCAACCCAGGCAGTGCCCTGACTGGGAATAGAACTGTGATTGTGTGGTTCGCAGGCCCGCGCTCAATCCACTGAGCTACATCAGCCAGGGCTCAGACATGTCCTTTTTAATTCCACTTAAAAAAATTCGAAAATGAAGGATAGAATTACAAAAATAGATATATATAAGGTAAGTGTGTCCAAAATCTAAAGGAATCTATAAAATCATTTCCAACAATATTGGAAAGCTATAATAGAATTTAAATAGTTCATTGTTACTATGTGGCCTAGAAAAAGGAGATAAAAGAAATAAGAATCCAATTTTATCAACCCAGTGTAGCCCTTGATTTCTAGTTCAAAAACACTGAATCTACTCAATTATATTCTAAGCCCAATGGAATTCCTTTAAAAAAATCTTCATAATGTCCCTAAAAAATAGGGAATATCCTTTGAGGACAAGGAACTCAAGTTTGTGTTAAGAAAACAGATATCATATATTATGGTCTACTAACGCATAGTAAAAATAACACTGAAAGATTAAAGAACACATTTATTTTTTAAAAACCCACAAAGTATTACAGTCAACACTCGTAAGGTTACCTGTTCAAAATTAGCAGGAAGATGAGGTCCAAGTCTCATTAGCAAATGCCACCAGACTTCTAGTTTTGTTAGTGCTAAAGCTTCTGTTCTCACATGGATGGAACTCAAAGGCTGCATTAACAACTTCAATCTTTTCGCACTACATAGTATTTCTTGAAAGAGAATGAAATAAGCACCCAGGTAAAACAACATTAAGAGCTAAAGATTAAATTGTAAGAATGAATATGCAATAATCTCCTTTTACCATAGAGAGTAAATTTAAAAGTAATTTTTAAAAATCAACCGTGAGCTGTTGTTACCCTTTTCACCTAAAAATTTCACCTGACACATTCCAGTAAGACTAGAAAACAACACTTAAGAAGGCAAGAGCAAAAAAAGGAGTAAGTACTATTTATTAAATACTGGATACAAGGGGTGATTTTGCAATCAAGGGGCATTTGACAGTGTTTACCATATTTTTGGTTGTAACAACTCGACATGCAAGGGTAAGAAGAATGCTACTGGCATCTAGAGTGGGCAGTATCCAGGGGATACTACTAAACATAACAAGTAGTCCCCCACAACAAACTGCCTAGCCCAATATGCCAAACATTGAGAAACTGTCCAAGCTGCTCTAGTATTTTCATTATCCCTATTTAACAGGTAAAAAATAAAGGCACATGTCTTACGCCCTGTCAAAAATGGTTATTTTTAAACTTTACTAGTAATTTATTTTACCATGCATTATACCTGTTGTTGCCATTACATTTTGGAAACCTAAATAGATTTATCTAGATTCAGATGTACTCTGCATTAACAATAATCAGATTAAAATTCAGCATAAAAGTTAAAGTTAAATCTAATTCTTTAAAGTATTTGTCAGAAGTATGTGAATATGTAAGTGTAACTGGAAATACATAAAGACAGTCTGTGCTCAAGTAACTTATTAAAAAGACTTAAGTTAGAAATAGTGTAAAGCCATGCATTTGGTGAGATGATATTCATTAATGTTTTCTTACAACTCTTTTGCCATTCAGTTTTAATTAACCTTTCCGTAAGAAAATAAAAAGTCAGAGCACTGTGAGAAAAAATGCTCTAATCCTTTAACTATTTATGAGGAGCTCCATGATAAAACCCCTATAGTATGATTGCAAATTGTCATACAATAACCCATGCATTCTCTTTTAGTTATAAGGCCGGCCTGCTTTCACTCATGACAGTGATGAGTACCCAATTTTGACATCTTTATCTAGTCTCCTATTTAGCCATTCTATTCAGTGAGACTTAAGTGGCAATGTATACAGAATTTCTAGAATGCATATTATATATAGCTGCCTCAGCTGAGAAGTTCATTTCAGCTCTGCCTCCCCTCCTTCCTATAGAGTACAACTAAGGTATATTGAAGATTACAGAACGGGAGGTTAGCATCTGATTCCTTAATGACTTTCTGCGTCCATAATACTAGTCACAGACTTTCTAGCTCTGGGCTTATTTTATCTTCTTTAAGCCCCTATTTTATACTACAACACTTAATATATTTAGTCCTGAACATCATCTCATGGTGATAGTTCATAAACAACAAAAAGTAACATTTCAAATTAAAACTGGTCCCTGGAAATGAGTTTTTATCAGTATTTTCAAGAAAAGCAATTATGGTTAATACAAACAATCACCTTATAAAACACATTTAAAAAGGAAAAAAAAATTAATGGTCTTTGGTAGAAAAGAAAATACAGAATGGAGTCAACATTACTTAGCAGATCTGGTATATATACAGTATAAATTACACCTAAGATTAAGTTACCCAGTAAAGTAGGTACTAATACCTATTTCTGGGCTAAATATTCTTACTCATATATATCAACCACCTTCAATGGATGATAGAGGCTAAAGGTAAATTAAAAGGAATCACTTATATATATTAATGCTAACCCCTATTAAGTTGATCAGTCATTGATACGTTTGTTCCAGAATAATCACAATTTTTTCCTATCTATTGACCATGTGACCTTTGGTAAATTAACTTAGTATCTCCAAAATAGTAACAATATTTACTATCTCAGGTCTATTGTGATGATTAATTAAATGAGAGATAGGTAAAGTGGTCAACTAAAATGTGGGCATGTACACTAAGAAGCCACAATGGTCCTTGTCACTTTGTTCACTTTTTGAACATAAATATTCAGAATTTTTAAATATTATTTACCTGGATTTAATGCAAAATTATCTATTAAACTCTTCCAAGCAATAAAAGCTATTTTTTTAATTATTGGTGCTCCACTACGAAATCCCAGTTCTTCCAGCTGTAACAGGGCATTAATAAAACTCCCACTTCGATGCAAGGTCTAAGAAGGAAAAATCATTAAAAAGTTATTTACCTGCCTAAAACAATACATAAAGCACTAATATCATTCACTGGTCTATTTCAATCAGTTTCAACTATGTAAAAGTCTCAGAAATTTCAATTTTATAAAGTATCAAGTTCTGTATGTACTTTCAAAATTCAAGATCACAAAATATAAAGCTCCACAAAGCAGATAATATATAACACAAAGCAATTCTAAACTATTAAGAGAAAATTAGGGAAATACCAATTTCACCAACATTAATACCAAAAAGAGAATATTTATATGAAAAAATAGTATCAGTATAAAAAACTAAGAAATGTTAAACCCTGAAACTAATAAAAACTGTCTTTTCAAACACAGTAAACTAGGCAGGAAAAATGGTTAAGTGAAAAAGGACAAGTAAACATGTATCCTGAGAGAAAATACAAAAAAGGACAAAATATTGCCCTGGCCAGCGTAGCTCAGTTGGTTGGGCATCATCCCACAAACTAAAGGATGGCGGATTAGATCCTAATCAGGGCACATGCCTAAACTGCAGGTTGGGTGCCTGGCTTGGGCGCCTACAAAAGGTAACCAACTGATGCTTCTCTCCCCATCTTTCTCCCTCCCTTTCCTAAAATCAATAAACATGTCCTTGAGTGAGGATTAAAAAAAAAAAAAAGATAAAATATTAACAACCACAAGTAGACATAACCACATATAATCTTAATAAAATATGAACAATAACAGAAAAAACCTGGCTTAGACAATCACAACGAATTCAGAAGAAAGCTCCTAGAGCTGATAAAATTATTTCAACAATGATTCAGAGTAGATCAGCATCTGAAAATCAGTTGTATTTTTATGTATCTGCAACAATCTGAAGAGGAAGTTAGGAAAGAAAGCAATTCTATCTACAATGGCACTTAAAAAGAATTACTAATAAACCTAATCAATTGGTGTATGACTTATACCCTAAAAGCTACAAAAAGCATTGCTGAAAGAAATCTGAAGAGACTTAAATAAGTAGAAAACAAAGTTGGAGCTCTGGATGGTGTGGCTCAGTGGACTGAGCACTAGCCTGTAAACCAAGAGGTTGTTGGTTTGATTCCCAGTCAGGACACATGCCTGGGTTACAGGCCAGGTCCCCAGTTGGGGGTGTGTGAGGAGCAACAGATCAGTGTTTAGCTCACAAATCAATGTTTCTCTGTCTCCTTCCCTTCCCCTCTTTCTATAAAATCTCTTAAAGTAAAAGAGAGTTGACTTCTAAACTTACAACAAAACTATAGTAATTAAAACATATGGTAGTGAGCTAGGATAGCTCAGCTGGTTAGAAGATTGTCCCAATACACCAAGGCTGCAGGTTTCATCCCTGGTCAGGGCACTTTCAGGAAGCAACTAATGAATGCACAAATCAGTGAGACCATAAACAGAGATGTCTCTCTCAATTCAATAAAAAGAAAAAAAAAAGAATTATGGTAGTAGCACAAGAACAAATAAACCCTTCCATATATTGTCAACTGGTTTTACAAGTGTACCTAGCCCTTCAATAACAAAAAATCTGTTCAACAAATGGTCTGGGAAAATTAAATATCCTCACTGGACCTAGACCCTTGCTTTATATACACAAATAAATTCAAAATGGATCAAAGATCAAAACATACAAATTAAAACCATAAAGCTCCTATAAGAAAACATAGGAGAAAAGATTAATGTACTAGATTTGGAAACAACTTCATGGATATAATACAGAATGCACAGATAACAGTTACCTATTATCTAATTTATATGCACTTCATCAAATTTAACTTTTATGTATCAAAGGGTACTACCAAGAAAGTAAAGACAACCTACAGAATGGGAAAAATATTTGCAAATGATATCTGATAAAGAATTAATATCCAGAAAAAGAAGTACATCTTAACATAAACCAAACCACCCCATTTAAAAGTGGGCAAAGGCTGGGCATGTAAAGTACACCACAGGGAATACAGTCAGTCACCTTGTAATAAGTATGTATGGTGATGCCAGGTAGCAAGAAGGGGGGGGGGGGTAGACCACTTTGTAAGGTATATGGTTGGTAACAACTATACTGTATACCTGAAACTAATATAAGATACTCAATGTAAAATAAACTATAATTGACTAATAAAACTAAAAAACCCCACAAATTTCACAGGAAAACCTAGATAAAATAAAAAATTTAAAAATACAGCCCTGGCTGGTGTAGCTCAGTGGATTGAGTACCGGCCTGTTAACCAAAAAAAATGTGCTTTGATTCCCAGTCAGGGCACATGCCTAGCTTGCAGGCCAGTTCCCAGGAGGGGACCCATGAGAGGCAACCATACATTGATGTTTCTCTTCCTCTCTCCTTCCCTTCCCCTCTAAAGATAAATAAAATCTTAAAAAAGAAATTTAAGAATATAAATAAAAACAGACAAAGGTTTTCCTGTCATGAGTTGTATGCAGTTGGCTCTTGCATCTGAGATCCAAAACCTTAAGCCTTCTTTACCAAGCATATGGGCTGCCATCACTATGCCACAAAATGAACATACTGAGCTACCACCGTAAACCTATATATATATATATATATATTACTTAAATTATCATGAGAAAAAGAGAAATAAGAAAAATTGAGAGGTTGATAAGTGTTCCAAGAGGTCAGACATACCGAGTCTGAAGGCTAAGAGCTACTATGAATAGCACCATAAGAAAATAAAAGACTATTAAGATGCATGTTTAAGATGTGTGAAAATAGAAACACCAAACAAAACAATGATGAAAAAATTCCATAGAAAACAGTACCTGCCATCCTGCTGGATACAAAGGGACAGTCCTAAGCTTATTTTGAGCACTTTAAATAAAAAAGAGAAAGCGGAAAAATCCCTCTGCCTAAGGTTCACATCCATGGAGAAACAGAAATACTAAGTTATTGAAACAGGAAAGAGAAAGGAAAACATGTAGGTTAGTTATTAAATTCTGCTGGTAAAAATGGTTATATGTAAAAACCACCTAAATATAAGATTCCTTAAGCCAATGGATTTATGTTTCAGCAAGGCCCACATAATACATTAGTGAAGTGTCACCTTTTGCTTGTCAATACAGAATGTGCAGAAAAATTCCTCATCCCTACTGTATATAACTTAGGGTATTCCTACCACAAGTACTAAGGTGAAAGTGGGCAATTTGGACCTTGTGATGATACAAGGAAGCAAAGTCATTTGGGGGAAATATGCCCCAAATAACAATCCTGAAAAATGATGGATATGTAAATGCAAATTACACTGGCTTGACAGCTGTTTCACACAAGAGACTCCTTATAATTATTGAAGATTACAAACCAGTAAGAAAAAGCACTATTACGAGGTTTCTGAAACCTACCCAACAGTCTTATATGTCCACAATCATCAAGAGGACTATTTATCATATTGTGTCCACAATCATCAAGAGAACTATTTATCATATTGTAAAAAAAAAAACAAAAAACAATAAAATAGTCCAATTTAAAAAAAAAGCTATTATCCAAAAGCAGGAAAATAACAAGTTTTGATAAGGATGTGGAGAAATTTGAACCCTTGTGCATTACTGGTAGGAGTGCACAATGGTGTGGCCACTGAGGAGTTTGGAGGTTTCTCGAAAAGTTCAACACAGAAGTATCATGACCCAGCATCCAATCTTACATACATACCCAAGACTGCTGAAAGCAGAGCATCCAACAGGTATCTATCTGTACACCAACATTCACAGCAGCATTACTCATAATTACCAAAGGGTGAAAACAAGCCAAAATCCACTTACAAATGCATGGATAAACAAAATGAGGTACATACACATAAAATATTATTCTGCCTTAAGAAGGAAATTTTAATGTGCTACATGTCTGGACCATTAAAAAATTATGCTTAGTGAAATAATACACAGAAGGGCAAATATTATAGAATTGCACTTATATCGAGTATCTAGGGGGACTTCTACCAAGATGGAGGCATAGGTAGAAGCACTGTGCCTTCTCACACAACCAAGTTTAAAAACAAAGTTTTAGCAACAAAAACGCAGCCAAACCACAGAAAATTGAACTACATGGAAGTCTGACAACAACGAACCCTTCAGCCAATCTGGTAAGAGGGACAGAGCCAGGGGCAGAGCCAGCAGCAGAGCGGGGTCAGGCAGGAAAGATCCACTGGACCCACCCGAGCGCGAAACCCAGTTGCACCAGCAGCTGTAGGAGGATCCCAGGTGTGGTGTAGCGGGCAGACCCACTGAGGGCTGACCACAGTCACACATTTGCGCGCAGATAAACCAGTGAAGGAGCAAGCAGTGAGACAGACCATGCAGGCCCCAGTGGCGGGAAGTGGCAGAGGGGACCACCATTGTCCCTTTTTGGCCCCACCCCCACATACAGAGTCACAAACCAGCAACCTGGGGGGCCCCACCCTGGTGAACATCTAAGGCTCCGCTCCTCATACTTAACAGGCTCGAAAAGATCAAAACATGGCTCAAGAAGAACTCAAAGCCCCAGAGCCAATAATTCTAAGCAACCAAGAGATAGCCAACCTATCAGATGCACAGTTCAAAACACTGCTGATCAGGATCCTCACAGAACTGGTTGATTTTAGTCACAAATTAGGGGAACATATGAAGGCTAAACTAACTGAAATGAAGGGAAATGCACAGGAAACCAATAGTAATGGAAAGAAAACTGGGACTCAAATCAAAGGAGTGGACCAGAAAGAGAAAAAAAAATGACCAAACAGAAAAGGATGAAGAAACAAGAATTCAAAAACATGAGGAGAGGCTTAGGAACCTCCAGAACATCTTTAAACGTTCCAACATCCAAATTATAGGGGTACCAGAAGGGGAAGAACAGCCACAGGTGGAAAACTTATTTGAATAAATAATAAAGGAGAATTTCCCCAATCTGGCAAAGGAAATAGACTTCCAGGAAATCCAGGAAGCTCATTAAGTCCCAAAGAAGTTGGACCCAAGAAGGAGCACACCAAGGCGCATCAGAATTACATTAGCCAAGATTAAAATGGAGACAATCCTAGAAGCAGCAAGAGATAAGGGGACAGTCACCTACAAAGGAGTTCCCATCAGACTGTCAACTGATTTCCCAAAAGAGACCTTACAGGCAAGAAGGGGCTGGAAAGAAGTATTCCAAGTCATGAAATCCAAAGACCTACAACCAAGACTGCTCTATCCAGCAAAGCTTTCATTTAGAATGGAAGGACAGATAAAGTGCTTCTCAGATAAGATCAAATTCAAGGAGTTCATCATCACCAAGCCCTTATTATATGAAATGTTAAAGGGACTTACCTAAGAAAAAGAAGATAAAAAAGATGAACAGTGAAAGGACAGCAAACTCAGTTATTAACCACACCTAAAACGAAAGCAAACTAGGAGGACAGCTAGATCAGGAGCAGAACCATAGAAATGAAGATCACATGGAGGATTAGCAACAGGGGAGTGGGAGAAGGAGAAGAGGGGAGAAGGTACAGAAAATAAGTAGCACAGATGGTAGGTAGAAAGTAGATAGGGGGAGGGCAAGAATAGTATGGGAAATATAGAATCTAAAGAACTTGAGACACATGGTCATAAACGAAAGGGGGGAATGGTGGGGGAGGGGGTGTGCAGGGTGGAGGGGAATGAAGGGGGGAAATAGAACTGTAATGGCATAATCAATAAAATATATTTTTTAAAAAGTATCTAGAATTAGCAAATCCATAGACAGAAAATACAAGTTACCAGGGGATGTAAGGAAAGGAACAGAGGGAATAATTGCTTAATGTAGTAAGAGTCTTTGTTGGGGATAATGAAAAAGCTCTAGGTTTAAATAGTGGTATAATATTACACAACTTATGAATGTATTTAATGCCACTGAACTGTACACTTAGGATGGTTACAAGTATTGTATTTACCACACACAATAAAGAAAAACATATACCCTCCTGTCAAGGAAACCTGGCTTACAGACAGAACATACAGTCAATTCTCATTATTCAAGATAGTTATGTTTTAGTAAGTCATCTTGAACACTGTATTAAGGAATACTGATCCATCACTCCTAGGAATAATGCAATTAGGTTCCTGAGAGCCTCTGGTCACCTTTGTTTCAATGAATCAATACACAACCTTGTTTTATGTTTATTTTTTAAAAAACAACTTACTAAACACATAGCCATGCAATGCTTAACAGGGATCTGTTTCAACAAATTCATCAGGCAATTTTGTCATTGTGTGAACATTATAGAGTGCATGCACACAAACCTAGATGGTACAGCCTGCTACATACCTAGGCTCTGTGGTACAGTCAAATGTCTTGGCTAGAGACCTGTACACAGCATGCTACTGCATAAGACATGAGAATAAATCAAACACAAGCGAAAATGATGAGATCAAGAGATGAGGTAAGCCCAAGATGTATGAGGTTGCTGCCAGGGTAACACAGCTTACTATTTTATAGCAAAATTTTTTAAAGTAGAAAGAGTATATTCCAAAATAATGGTTAGTATAATACTTAAACCAGTAACCGTCATTTATTATCAGTATCAAGTATTATGTACCATACATAATTATATGTGATATACTTTTATGTGACTGGTAACGCAATTTGTGGACACCAACACCACCACAACCACATGATGTCACTAGGCAACAGGAATTCTCAACTTCATTACAATCTTATGGGACCACCATCGTATATGCAATCCACTGCTGACCTCAACATTGTTAATGCAGTTCACAACCATACATCACTATTTCACTAACAATGAACTCCTGGCCAGGAGCACTATAACTGATGTCTAAATAAAGCTTATCTAACACCCTATTTTCTCCATTAGGCACAGCAGTGTTCCTATACTTAGGAACTGTAGCCCTTCAACACTATACTTGGGGGCCATCATTGCCCTTTGGTGAGTGGCTCAGTTGGTTGGAGTACTGTCCTATACACTAAAAGGTCTTGGGTTTGATTCCCAGTCAGGGCACATACCTAGGTTGCAGGTTTAATCCCTAGTCAAGACATGTGCCAAGAGGTAACCCACGCAAGAAGGAACCAAACAGAAGTTGTTTCTCTCTCCCCTCCCTCACTTTCCCTCTTTCTAAAATCAATAAGCATGTCCTCAGGTGAGGACAAAAAAATGCAATCATCAAAAAAAAAGCACAGAATGTGAAAAAACGTGCAACTAAATGGATAACAAAAAGGACATTTAAATGATATAGAGAGCTTAGACAAAAAGGCAAAGCATAACCTTCCTTATTCAAGGTCAGCTAGGAACAAATGCACTGGTGAGCTCAATACAAATTTGTTTGCCACTCTGCAGGTCTATTATACAAATAGGTAATAACTTTAGGGAATTATACAGCCCAAGTACTGATACTGTGTTTCCAAACAAATTTTAGTGAACAGATATATTGGTATGATAATGAGGATCGACTATATTACATAAATAAAGCTAAGAAATGAAAAGTGTTTGGCATGTAAAACTGAACTGTTCTTTAAATGTCGACTTACCTTCCCAAGAAGCTTGACAAACAAAGGCCATAATTTTAAAACATAAGTCTCATTTTTACTCATAAATAGCTTTTGGAGTTCTGAAAGTAACTTCTGCAAATAAAAGAAAAAATATTTACCAAAAGGACTCTTGGAAAGAACAAAACATGCACTATCAAATCAGCTGATTGTCACAGCTAAATAACTTTACCCAATGTTTTATCAGGAAAACTTTCATACATAAGGCAAAGCTGAGAGTTTTATAATAAATGTCCAAATATAAATAACCATTAACATTTTACTACGCTTTTCTTATCACGATCTGGCCATTCTTGCATCCATTAATCCAGCTTCATTTTTTTCTACCAATATTCTTTCCCCTAACAACTTCAGCATGCATACCATTAATTAAAGTTAAAAGGACAATGTTTTAACTTCTCACTGATAACTTTAAAAATACATTAATAGCTTCATGGATAATGGACATCTGAGAAAATTTTAGTTCAAATACATAAAGACTTTAACATAAACTAAAAATATCAAACTTATTAGAATTTAAAAAAAAACTTGCAAAGATAAGTGATACTTTATCAGACTCCAAACATTACCATGAAGCAATTTTAAAAAATGAACAAACAAAACCCCAGAATTTAGACTGGAAGTCCCCCTCACTGTCTGGATGTGAGGGGAAGGCCCACTCCTACTGCAGTATGTCTAAGTTTCCTCCACTCCTATTCATTCCCCTTTAGAGTCTACTTTCAACACAGGCAGAGGGATCCCTTTAACACCCAAGTCAGTACATACAATATTCCTAGACTCAAAACCTTCAAATATGGTTTTCAGGAGAGCCCAGAATCTTACAATGACCCCCAAATATCTATGCAATTTCTCTAAACGTTCTATGGCCGTTTCTCTAAAATCATCTCCTATTCCTCTCTTAATGATCTCCGCTATCATACTGCCCAGTGTTCACTGAATACAACCATCGGAGCAGGGCCTTTTGCTCTCATGGCTCCTCCCAAGAGCTAACTCCTCCATCACCTTCAAATATCTCATTATTTCTCTTCCCTGACCACCCTACCCTTCCTCTTCAATGACATTCTCTCCATCCCTCCCAATCTCCATAATGTTCTTTACTTAGTTTACTATATATTTTATTATCTCTACCAGTAGAAAAATAAGCTCCCTGCCCTGGCTGGCGTAGCTCAGTGGATTGAGCGCGGGCCTGTGAACCAGAGTATCGCGGTTCAATTCCCAGTCAGGGCACATGCCTGGGTTGCAGGCCAGTTCTCAGCAGGGGACGCATAAGAGGCAACCATACACTGATATTTCTCTCCCACTCTTTCTCCTTCCCTTCCCCTCTCTTGAAAAATAAATAAAAAAATATTTTTTAAAAACTTAAAAAAGAAAAATAAGCTCCCCAAGTTCCTTTTGTTCACTAGTATATTCAGTGCCTACAACACTCAGCATATAATAGGTGCTCAATAACTATTTGTTACAAGAAAAAGAATTTAAAAACCTAAAGCCAGAGGCAAATAACTGCTTTAGGGAATTATACATAGTAGATGCACTCATGTGTACCAAACTTTTATCTGTTGGGATTATGCTAAAACAACCCAAATAGCACTGAATTAGTTAATACTTCCCCTTCTCCCAAAATGCAATCCCTTCCAATAACCATTCACTGAGGATGGAGTAAAATGACCAAATCACAGTAATACTGAATAGGCAGCTGCCCTCGTTGTAATGCAGGATTAGTCTGTCTACAACTCAAGCACTGCTGTTTTAATTCAAAGAGGAATTTCTTAGATCATAGTACAATTACACCAACATGAGCCCTAAGCTTGGTGCAGAACTTACAATGCACTATTCAAATAATCCTTACATAAAATAATACTTACAGTAGTCATAAGCTGCTCTGTGATAGATGCTATTTCTTGTTGTTTCTGAAGCAACAAGGGCATTCCCATCTCTAAAGCAGTGGCTCCCCGCAAGTGTACCTTTTGGGCTGAATGAACAACTAAAGGTATGACCAGTTTTGCCCACCTAACTGACTCTTCTACCATTTGAACTGGGGCTTGCTCAATTAGCCTATAATGGAGAAATCAACAAATAATTTAGTTTGAGCTCAACTTTTACATCTAAACTAACAGGAAAGTAAGTGGCACACAGAAATATGCATAGTATATAGTCCATTACTTTTAGAATATGTACATATATGTATACACATACACACAAAAAATCTAATATTTATATGCTAATTTTTAGACTTCAGTATTACTTTTTTCTAACGTCTATTTCCTTTTTTCTTTAAAAAGGAAATTATTTTATTGTTGTTCAATTAGTTGTCTGCATTTTCTCCCTACCCCCTCCAAACCCACCTCCCTCCCTTGCTTCTACCTTCCCCCTTGTATCCTTTATAGCAGTTCCTGAAAACCCTTCTCCCCACTGCATCTTTAAAGTAAGAACATACTTTATCTTATTTTGAAAATTGCTAAATACTAATTATTTTTATATAGTTAAATTCAACTTTTTTATAGGACAGCCAGAGAACTGTGATATAATGTGAGCATCCATCAGGGCACCAGAACATTAAGTAGTTAAATAGCTCAACTATGGAAGAAAACTTTAAAAAAGAGATAAGATAAAGCTTATCAAGAGTCTGTGCTGATAACATATCCATCACAAAGAGCAGGGATGGGTAGAAGAAAGTAAAGGATTTTCTGGTTCTCCCATCTCCAGCTAGATACTGTTAAAACATCCTAAATGCCCCCTACACCTCACTTGGGAGTGTACGTTATTTTTTAAACTTGCAAAAGCTTTAACAGAATGATTTTTAAACCCAGAATTATGTTATCAGCAGCAGCCTAACCATACTTCATTTTTAAGACTATCTCAGTAAAAACAAAGAAACCTACTAACTTTTAATAAGCAGTTTTACTTCCTTCTTCCGGTTAGCTTTTTTCTTGATACTTTTATCTCTAAGTTATTTCCTTCTTTCAATGTCTAACCCAAATTCAAGTCCCAAAAGTTAACTCCTTAAAAGTAAATTCTAAATTTCCTGAAACAATTCTTCCAATTTGCAGTGAATCCAAATTCATACCTTATGATGACATTTAATGCTTCATAATCAACAACAGCAGAATGCATCTCTCCTCTACTAAATACTTCTTCTAATGAATCAATTATACTGGACACCTAAAAGATATAACAAAACAAATACAAATCAAATAAGCCTGAATTTTTAAAATGGCATTTAGTTAAGAAGACATATAAAAACTATACTCACTACTTTGCCAACAACTTCAGTGGGAAATGTCTGCTTGGATATCACCCAAAGAGCCCTAGTACATACATTTTTGTCTGAACTCTTAACAATATCATTCAATTTTGAAAGCAGTTCTTGAATTTTTTTCTCTGAAAAACAAGCAGCTTTGATTATGTGCAAGTTTCCATCCTTTAAAATGTCAAATATAAAAAGAAAAATATATTCTTCACTGTCAAAATTAATTAAATGCATATCCAAAGAAAAGGACCAGAGAACCAATGCTGACAACAAACTAATCTTCCCAAAACACAAAAACAGGTAAGATGGGAGGGTATAGTTAGAGAAAACAGTAGACTCTAAGTCAGATTATTGTATCACTAGGTTTGGATATACAAGATAAATTTTGACAAGATGTTATAAACTCTATATCTATGCTCCAAAATGAACAACTCCTACTTTAGATTGCAAACATTTCTACACAGCATGGGCCAAAATTAGATTTATAGTTATGAGTATGCAAGTTTATTCTTCTATTTATTATTTCATTATTTTTCTTAACAAACTGTTCACCTACTTTTACCCCAACCTGTATATAAAAAAGGGCAGAAACTTTTCTCTCAGAAAAAAGATGGTTATACCTTTCTAACATCTTTATTTCCTACTCCTGATTTCCCCTCTCTAAAGATCATCTCCTAGGTTCCCTTTACCATGGCAAACTACTAACTTTAGAGCAACGACTAAGATGAAGTTGATAACTTAGAAAGCATCAGGTCAGTCTTCTTTTTCAATATCACTTTTAGTTCTAAATCATCCCACTTAACACTATGTAAAAACATTTCAATTCAGCATATTCCTGTGTACATGTGTATAGAAAATAAATGACTGTCTAAATTACTAACTTCCACCCTGGCTGAGCATTGGCCTGCAAACCGAAAGGCTGGTTTGATTCCTGGTCAGGGCATATCCCAGAGGCAAACAATGGATGTTTCTCTCCCACATCCATATTTCTCTCCCTCTCTTTCTCTCTCCCTCCCCCTCTCTAAAAATAAATAAAAACTTTTCTAAAGATTTTTAAATTATTAACTTCCAAAGCAAGTAAGTGTTGTACAAAGGAGTTCAATTTCCATAGCAATTATTATTATTAATAGGATTATTTTCTTTTAGAGCAAATTTTACCATTACCAAAAGGCTATATATCTAAGAAAGACACCTTCCAATGATAATCTAAACATTTCTCAAAAGCAAATCCTAAACTGTAAGTTATAATCTAACAGAGGTAACAATACTTTTAACAGTATCAAAAGTATATACTTATAAACTTCAAAATATTAAGTCATAATAAATTTAACTACCTGATAATCCTGAGGTAATTTTGGGATTATATAAGCAAAATCCCAAGGCTTGTAGAGCAGCACAACTGAGCTCTGAGTTTTGACTAGAAATATGAATCTATAAAAACAAAACAAACAAAATCACACTTGTTACAAGTGCAATTGTGAATCAATGTCTAGAGAGCAAAGTTTGATTGAAAAGCAAAATTACGTTTCATTGTAATCAATCAACAAATCTTTGAAAGTAGATGAAATAAGATCAGCAGGTCATGTATATATACAGTATAGCAAAGAGGGAAACTGGATAAAAGATCAACTAAATAAAGAACATTTTTCTTAAAAAATAAAGAACACCTCCACACACCCGAAACCAAGAAAAATCCAAGAAATGGAAAATGCTAACACTAGACAGGAAATAAATAGGAGCTCTTCTTTCTGCAAAGAGAAAGCAAAAGTCTCAAGCACAAAAGCTGAAATCCTAGCATTAAGTGGAGTGGGGGAGGGGGGTGTTGAAATGTAGCATTTATGGCAATGAGATTTAAGCATCTCAATCTTCAAAAAAAAACCCCTATGTTAAAGTCAGAATTTGAATCCATGTTCACCTGGAATTCAAAGTCCAAGCCATATTATAGGCTGGGGCATAAGGGATATTAAAGAAATCTATTCAGACAACTACAAATACACAAAGCCTTATATATCTAAGACTTTGAGAACTACTTCTACATCCCTTGGATAATAGCTAGCATGTGTCTGTAATAAATTTTTCTTAAATACATATTGCCTGAAAGAGTTATGTCTCATCTTCAAGAACGTTGTGGGTTCATTGAAACAATACTAGCAAAATTCTAAATAGCACATTCCACCTAGTATGATTCCTATTCTGAAGAAATTCAAATATCCTTTTAGTGCTTAGTAATTCACATACAAACCTCTTGATTTTCCTATCACTAATTACCCATGTACTTCTAAACAGAGTTAAATTTTAGGGGAGTCAGAAGTTACACACAGATTTTTGACTGCAGGGGGAAGGGGGTTGGTGCCTCTAACCCCTATGTTGTTCGAGTCAATTGTAATTATTCATCAAACACTTTAGCTATAAAATTTACAAACACTGCCATTTGACTAAAAATTCAGTTCCTGACCCCATATACTGTCAAATACCAAATATATGAAAACACTTGTTTTCATAGAAAATACACTGTCTCGTGCTGCTTAACAACAGGGATATGTTCTGTGAAGTGAGTCATATGCATTGTTAGGCAACTTTGTCATTGTGCGAACATCATAGAGTACACTTGCACTACATGCCTAGGCTATATGGTATAGCCTACTGCTGCTAGGCTTTAAGCCTGTACAGTATGTTACTGTAGAAAACAAGATTAAATCAAGCACAAAAGAAAAAAATGCAATCAAGAGACATGGTTAGTAGAAGATGTATGAGGCTGCTGCCAGGATAACACAGCATACTGTTTTACACCAAACTTTTTTTTAATTAAGCAGAAATATTACACCTTAAAATAACAGTAAAAAGTATAGTAAATACACATATCAGTAACATAGTCATTATCAAGTAATATACACTCTACATAATTGTATGCACTATACTTTTATACAACAGGCAGCACAGAATTGTTTACAACATGAGAAGAACACATTCAGCTGTAACATCATGTAGTCTACAATGTCACTAGGTAATAGAAAGCAATAGGATTTCTTCAGCTCCATTATAATCTTATGGGACCATGTTGTATATTTTGTGCAAGTTGTTGACCAAAATATCATTATGCAGAGCACGATTATACTGCTAGAATGTGGTAAATGACAATGAAGAAAACTGTAGTAATAAATACCACTGATACTATTAATCTAATCTAATACTTAATGTGAAACTAATTACTCCAATAAAGTTCTGGCTTAGGTGAACAGCACCAATCACTCAGGTGAAGAGGTAGGAGATACCTCAAATGCCTCAACTCAGAAATCATACTAAAATATACAACGAATATCTTGATAGAATACTTCCATTTAAAAGCATAAAACAGGATCATAAAAATAAGAACTCAAAGGAGATTGAGTTCCACCTCTTAATTCTAAAGAAAATTGAAAGTTCAGTGTTAGGAAGGTCACAAAGCCACAGTGTAGTCAAATGAGGACAAGAACATAGGTCCTCAGTTTGTGGTTAAATTATACCAGCTTCCAATAATCGAGCAATAAAGATAATCTTACTACTCGTGTCTAATCAAGCAAGAGCAGCAAAAACTAAGCATGTGAGAAGATAAAAATATACCAACAAATAAATCGACAAAATCATTTACTTAGGAGTACATTCCTACCAAAAGAGTTAAAAAAGATAAAATCATCTCTGATGAATGAAGAAATGAAAACGGTTTTGGATTCAAATGCCCTTGGGCAACTTTAGGCAAATTAAACAATCTCTCCTGCAAAGTGGGGATTAAAGAGTAACCTGACTGAGACTGGGAGTTAATTAAGTGAGAGAAAACTGTAAGATAATTGAGCAGTTGATACACTGTATATCTCAAATAGTACTATAATCTGCTTTATTTATATTAGTTTTTATGAGTAAACTGGCAAAACTTTTCCACCACAAATAAAAAATATTTAATAATCAACACACACACCTTTAAAACTTCGTATAGCCGAGGAAGTTTGTTCTCAATTTCTACAATGACTTCTTTTCCATCTTCTCCAGTAATACGACTTAAAAGCAGAAAGTAACACAAGTTTATGCAGATAGCAGGAGCAAAAAAACACTCCCTAAAATATCTGTGTAATCTTTTCAACATTTATGTTAGAATGCTAGCAAATTCACTTGACCTAGAAGTTAAACTACTTAAGTACAGAATAAAATATACAGCCGAAGGAAAAAAGTCCTCAGAATTACTTTTGCAGCGACAGTTTGGACAGAGAAACCTTCCCCAATTACAAACTTACTAAATCTTTATCGTTCGGTGCCAACTGTTATCCTCTCCACGCAATTCCCAGTCACTACAAAAAACTCTAATGTTTTGCAAGGGGAAAAATATTATGAGCATTTGCAATTAAAATAAAACTCGGGTTACTGCTCTCGATTGAAAAAACAATTCTGAATTGCCACTGTCCCAACACATAAGCCACTTACAGTGAAACCCCTCCTCCACCCTGCCCACTTCCAACCCAACTTTAATTCTTCGATTGCAGGACGCCGGAGCGGACTTCCTGATTCCGCACACCTTAGTTAACGCATCCGCGCAGAACACCGCCTACCACGCACCTTCCCACCCGCGGCGTTCGCCCGCGACCCCGGCTTCCTCATCGCCGCCAAACTTTCAGGATACACAAACTCGTTTCGCGTGCCCCCCCACAACTACATTCTCCCCAAGAACCACCAGAACACCCAGCCCCGCTCCCAACGGGCCTCACCTTGTCAGAGTAAGGTACGCGTCAGTCTGCTCTCCATAGGAGGCGGAGTGATCTTCCAAAGTCTCCAAGAGCGGCGCGAGGGGGCTCCCATCCGGGGCCGTCATTTTGGCCACCCTGAAGCACAGACCAGAAAAGGAAAAAATCCAGCGACCGACCAAAACAGCCCCGCGCCGGCCGAGCGTGATTCCGGGCCCCAGACCCACGCGCTCACCCTGGGCCTCACAGTCCCACCGACCACGTCCCACACCCCTGGCCCCGGGCGCACTAACCCTAGACCCTAACCTCCTGTGCCTCACGACCCGCATCCAGGCCCACGGCGCTCGGGCCCAGGCCCTCTCCCGCCACCACTTTCCCGGGCAGCTTTCAACAGGGGGAGGAGACCGGCGTGGGGCGGGAGAAGCCGTGTGAGAGAGGCGTCTCACCGGGAGGGGGCGGAGGTGGCGCCCAACTGAGGGTTCCGCGCGGCGTAGCACTCTGATCCCTATAATTTACCCCACGTAGGACGATGAGAACTGCACCCTCTCTGCCTCCGTCCCGCACCCTCGCGGAGGCCGGCAAGCCTAGGCTTTCACGTCTCGGACTGTTTACTCACGCGTGCAGCCCGCTCCTTCCTAGACCAAGATGGCGGGAGGGGCGGGGCGGGAGCGCGCGAGAGTAGGCAGGCCTGGCGGGAGAGGCCCGATCAGACCCACCAGGTCGCGGCGCGCCGAAATCATCGATCGCTCCCTGACTCGCCTGGCGTCTCACCCTGCCTTTCGAGTCACACATAGCGCTGGGAGGTATTTCAGCCTGAACTTAATCAGAGACGGCCTTGAAATTCCAAATGTTACTGAATCTCCCAAATTCACCAGACTGAATTTAACGGACTTTCAGACTGTTTTCAAACTCCGAGTTTAACGCTTGTTGAAGTATTAGCAACAAGTCATTTACCGTGATGTTTAAGACTAAGACCTGCGTCCAGATGGCTCTAGATTCCATTCCTTGTTCAATGTGAATTTAGCAAGTTCATCAACCTTTCTATGCCTCGATTTACTTCTCCGTAAAGTAGGGGTGATAATAGTACCTAATTTGGGTAAAAAAGAAGAAAAGGTGAGAGGCCAAGGTTCTCAAATTTTAGCTGCACATAACAATGTCCTGAGCTATTCCTGATTAAATTGCTGATTTCTGAGCCCCGCCCTTGGACATTGTGATTCAGTAGATTTAGGTGGCCCCCCGGGGATCTGCATTCTATTAAGCCCTAGGTGTCCAAGGGTGGCGCCTTGGTCTATACTTCAAACTGGAGAAGCTGCTGTAAACCTTTAACGAAAGTCAGTTCTTATTATCAATATGTTGCCCCCCCCCCCTTTTCATAGGCCTCTGAGCCCTTCCCACATCACCTTAAGGCCCAGCCAGCAGCCTTGCACTCTGGCCTCACGGGTTCCAGGCGTAGGGCTTAACCACCCCCCACCCCCACCCCCTGCAATACAACTATCAGCTCCATAGTTCTGGGCTATGTTTTGTTTTTCTCTGTATTATCTGCACCTAGCAAAGGGTCTGCCAAACAGGCACTGGATACATAAACATGTTTCTTACACGAAAAAAAATGAAGGGAGACGGAAGGAGACCTCATAGTCGGCGTCCAACTTCTTGTAAGCCGACCTGTGAACGTTCCATGGGTGGTGCTGCAGCACTTAAGGTGTGTGTTTGGAATGAGGAAGCCTACACATGGTCAACCCTCTTTCCTGCCTTGAACAGTCTATCAGAAACTTTTCTGTGTCTTGGAAGGACTATGTTGTTCCCTCGTTTGTTTGCTTAGAACATGAATTCAATTTCTCAAGTGAGAAATAGAGTCAAATAAATTCACACCTTTTAATGAAATACTTCCCTCTACTGTCCCCCAATGGAGAATAAATGCTTCTACCACCACTTGAGGTAGCTCTTTGTACAGAGATCCTTTAAAACAAGTATCTCGTTAACTTGCTACTGTTTGACTACAAAACACTGTTGTGACAGAGTTGAGACTTAGCTGGACAGAATTAGTTCCAGACACAATCTTAATCAGTGCCCCTCCCTGTTGTTTGTATTTTCTGAATCTGATCTAAAGTTCTAAGAAATTGCAAGGTCAAGACAAATCCCCTTCCTTACCCTGACTCTTCTCCACACACTCTCCCAACCAGATTGCTTCTCCCAAGCTTCATTTTTATAGAAATTCTGGAGCCACCACCATGGATCTGCTCACACTGCAATAATTCCATGGTATTTGACACTCAAATAGATTTTGAATTAATTTGTTTATGTATTAAGTTATCTTCTTTGCCTTTCCAAATCTTGTATTTTTTCTCTTCAGACTGTCTCTTGAGGACTAATGCCTTACATTCTCAAACCAATACTCCTTTCTAACCTCTCCATTCTTGTCTTTAACCACACAGCAAATATCACACAGCAAATATCAAGTGTATAATCTTATGCCTGTCGATGGCTTCTTTCTCCTACTTGCCCTGAATGGTCCTAATGATTCTTCCTACCTAATAATTCTTGAATCTGTCCACCCAGGATCTACCTAGAATCCCAATTTATGGCCTAAACATATCATTTCAGGATTATAACGTTTTAAAACTACTTTTTGTTGAGTGGTAGATGCTTTATATACTTATCTCCTTTATTTCTCAGTAATTGCTCAAGATGAAAAAGCACTTTTCCCTCATATACATATAAGCATTTGAAGCTTAAGGAGAACTCCAAAACTAATCTGTTGAAGCTATATTATTTATCAACACTTAATGAGCTCTACATAAAGCACTGTGATGGTATAGTTTTCATGGTAGATTTATTCTTGAACATTGTAAGAAAATTCAACATAAAGAGTCCTTTGGAAGCTCACTACTTAAAAGACCCCTATAATACATCATTTAGTAAAATAAAATATTCTTCTGTAGTCCAAATTACTGATGTTAATATAATGAGCCCAGTTTTGGAGTCAGATGAGGATTCAAATACTGGCTCTGCCACTGTGCAAAACTTGAGATCTTCCAGAAAAATGCTTAGTTTCACCATGTCTTCATTAATAAAATGAGAAGAAATATACCAACACCAAAATTCAGTAAATGGTAATTATTACTACCCAGTACCTAGCTCAAATCCTGACACACAGTGGGTATTTTAAAAACGTTTATTACAGGAAATGGATAAATTATGTTAATTGAAAATGTTTTTAAATATATAAATTAGTTTAATGTTTGTCTCTTAGACATTGTGGAGTGTAAGCATTCTAAGGAACATTTGTAACATTACCCCACAAGATAACTATTTAAAAAGAACCATGCTTTGAGATCATTTTAGCTTTTTAATTCTATATTATTAAAAGATCCCATGACAAACTTTTCAATAATTAATAGATGGAAAACTTTTTTAAAGATGATTTCATCCCATCACTAAACATACACATGCCCCATGACTAACATGAAATCTGCTACCCTTGCCTTCAGACCTACTCCACAATATTATCAACGTGTATCAAAGAAGAGATCATTTAATTCTTTAAGAGAGTAAAAGTCTTATCTGGACAAATACTTTTACTTTTCCCACTGAGCTATGCAGAGAGTTTCTACCGTAATGACCAAACCAAATCATTTTTAGGTGAGAAAATTGAACCCCTTCAAGTTCACATGAAAAAACAGAGACAGAGCCGTATAATGGCTAAACATGGAGCCTGAATAATAAGGTTTAAATCTTGTCTACGAACTTCTTTTTTTTTTAGATTTTATTTATTTATTTTTAGAGAGAGGGAAGGGGAGGGAGAAAGAGAAGGAGAGAACATTAATGTGTGAGACCTGACTCAACCCAGGCATGTGCCCTGACCAGAAATCAACCTGCGACCTCCATTTACAGGATACCGCCCCTCCCCCTCAGCCACACCAGTAGGGCCTGTCTACAGACTGCTTAGCTGTGTGACTCTGGCAAATTATGCAACCTCTTATGCCTCAGTTTCCTTTTCAGTAAAATGGAAATAACTGTGTTTACCTCATAGGCTTGTGAGGTATATCTAACTCAATACATGGAAATTAGTAAAACAGTGAGTGGGTACATGATATAAATATTTAGAAAATATTAGCCATAGAAACACTAGTTTCTCAGGTTCAAGAAAAACAGCATATAGTATATAAAACCATGAATGTTTAAAAAAACAAACACTTTTTCATTGTCATGGATTGCCTAGCTCACATTGCAAATATGCCACTATAGCCAATCAGCAATAATTTAGTATTTTATTTCTCAAAGTTCAGTTCCAGGGTCTTTGCATCAGGATCACAAGGGATTATATACAAATATTTGGGCCATATCTGTCAGACCTACTGAACCAGAAGTTCCAGGGCAAACCCGGTGATCTGAAAATTTAGTGTGTGCCCTGAGTGATTCTTTTCAGTTCCAAAGTCTGAGAATCGTACAAGTGCTCAAGGTACAATTTTCTTTAACATTAAAAAATAGCTCTTTACTATTAATTGTATTCATAATTGGGATATAAACTTCTACTTTTGAAATAACCCACCTGTGTATGCAGAAACCTTTTATCTATATCTCAAAATGTATGGAGAGAAAGCAATAGTCTTAGAAGCTCAAGAGGTAGAAACATAATTTAAACTGACAACCTTGAGATGCCAAAAGAGAAAGTGATTCATTGTTGTGCTTCAGGACTTTGTGGAAAAAGAATGTAATCACAAATTTAGAAAATTAGTTCAATTTGAATTCACCAGGCCTACTCAGGGCAGGATTAAGTGCCCTATTTTTCTTGATCAATGAGTTAAGAAAAAAAAAATTAAAGTTCCTCTTGTTTTTTTGTTGTTGTTTTTTTATTTTCCTTTGAGTTTACACTTTATTATGTCTTTTTTTTATAATAAATTTTATTTAGTTACTTTTCAAGTACATTTTTTTTATCTATTTCTCCCATCCCACCCCCCCACCCTGTCTCCCCCCTCCCTCCAATTTCCCCTCCCCCAGTCCTCATCCCTGTGTCTTTCTAAAGTTCCTCTTGTAGTAAACTAATGTAATTGGAAAATTTTAAATCCTCTAAATGTACTGTGGATACAACGGAATTTTGACCAAAGTTTGCAAGCTTCATAGTCTGCTTTTCATATGATACTGGTGGAAATATAAACCGGTACAGCCTCTAAGAAGGACATTTTGCAGTATTTATCAAAATTAAAAATTCTCAAAGTCTGTGATGCAAAAATTTCCCTTCTATATGATTATTCTATAAATATACTCATTCATGTGAAAAGTAAAGTATGAAGACTGTTAACTGAAAAATACAAAGTCCTTTCAAAGTGAGAGACAAACAAGCATTTATTTGAGATCAGTAGGAATAGCTATTCGGGACTCATTAGTTCAGGCAGAAGCCCATGCAGTGC